AGGCCCAAGCTTTGACTGGGATGTCGTAATAGGATGTACCTAGAATGCACCATAGGCGTGACGCAATCTGAGTCGTACCTAGTTTGGCTTACTGAGTCTCAGAGGTTTTCAAAAGTTACTCTGAAGAATCTATCAAAGTTCAGAGAAGCAACTTCGAAGAACCTATGTCGGTCAATGGCTATTCTGCTCATTTACGTAAAATACAGCAAGTTCAATGAGACTGAACCTATTTTTCAAACAAATTAGTCTTACTCGATTACCTCTGTAGAAAGTCAGGATGACCATACAGAGAAATTATGTTTCAAACAAATTACATGCGCGCCCGGTGCTCAGCCTGGTAATCCTAGCACTCTGGAGGCCGAGGCGGTGGATCGCTCGGGTCAGGTTAAAACCAGCCTGAGCAAGAGCGAGCCCGTCTCTTGACTTTAATAGAGAAAATAATGGCCACTAATATATATAAAAATTAAGCCGGGCATGGTGGCAACATGCCTGTGGTCCCAGCTACTCGGGAGCTGAGCAGCTAGGATTGCTTGACCCCAGAGTGTGGTTGCTTGGAGCCGAGGGCTGACGCATGGCACTCATTAGCCTGGGCAAGTTGTGCATACGAATAGAATCATCAAAAAGTCATGAATAGACTTCAAAAATTCTCTTTTGGAGACAGACACGTAAACCAATATTTTCAAATGTATCCTGTTACAAAGAGAGCAGATTCATATTGAATGTATGTAAATAAGTATATTACCATAAAATATGAATACTTCGAAATAGTTTCCCAATTCTGGGGAGGGACCAGGAAGGGAGAAAAAGTAAATGATTCTATATTTTTTCCTAAAGTGTACTTTACCAGATAGCTGTAAGGTATAAATAGCTGAAAAGAAAAAAGGTTTCCTTAAATCTGGAAAACAAAACATTTAAAGAACGAGCAAAATTCCAAATAAAAAGTCATTTAAAAAGTGTGCTCGTTAGTTCATTTTGTCCCATGTAATTAATTTTTTTCCCTGCTTGATCTTTTTTTATTTTTTTTCAGACAGAGTCGCGCTGTGTTGCCCAGGCTAGCTAGAGTGAGTGCTGTGGCATCAGCCTAGCTCACAGCAACCTCAGACTCCTGGGCTCAGGCAATCCTGCTGCCTCAGCCTCCTGAGTAGCTGGGACTACAGGCATGCGCTAACATGCCCGGCTAATTTTTTCTATATATATTATTTGGCCAATTAATTTCTTTCTGTTTAAGTAGAGACGGGGTCTCACTCTTGCTCAGATTGGTTTCGAACTCCTGACCTCGAGCAACCCACCCGCCTCAGCCTCCCAGAGTGCTAGGATTACAGGCGTGAGCCACCGTTCCTGGCCCCTGCTTGATCTTGGTTAGCAACTTCAGGAAGTTAAAGTTCCATTAAAGTTTTGGAAATTCCTAGGCAGTCCAATAGTATAATCTTAAAGTTATCATAAAACTGTATTCAAGGACACTTGTCAGAGTCTTTTCTGCAAATCTCCTTGAAAAAGAAGCAATTTTGGACCGTACCTGATTGCAAATGTTTTTAGAAGAGCATCAAAGCAACAATGTGTGTATGGGAAAGACTTAAAATGTGTATGGCTAAAAATCTGATGGAAGTTCATTATCATAATGACACAGTCACCAAGGAAATCTGATTATTTCTCTGGTGTATAACATTATGACTGATAACATATTAGATATCTGGAAATCTCATATGATTTTTCGAACCCTTGTATCATAGCCATGAATATAATAACTTAGAGAAGGTTTAACATCACATATTATTTGACAATTCTTCCCATGTAATTTAACATATGAAATGAGGTGGCTTTTCAAATTAGCTTGTTTCTTAATTGGATTACTGAGTTCAGGGTGGAGCTCATTAATGAATGGGTCCATCAAAGTATAGGCTCCTATATGTTGAAAAAGTTCCCTGGTAATTCTGATGCATACCCCTAGCTAAAAACCACTGATTTAGGCCCTGGACCTACATTTAATAGCAGGGTCTCCGTCTTAGCTACATGTTGGCAGCATCTGAGAAGGTTTAAAAATTCTCAATGCCAAGGTCCCACTGTGGACCACTTAAGTTGGAATTTGTGGGTTGGACCTGAGCATCAGTTGATCGTTTAAAATGTTTCCCAGTGATTTGTATGTGTAGCCATGTTTCCCAATAGATTTTTCTGTCTTCTTGTGGCATTTATCCTTTTCTATTTTTGTATGATAATTATTTGAATATTGTGAATAGGAGCTTTTCAGATACTCTCTTTGGTGTTAGGCGTTATTTTCCCTGAGGGACATCAAGTTTGTAAATGAAAAACACATGAATTAGTCATCAGCAAAAGATTTGAGCCACAGGTAGGTTGTAAACTGAGTGTCAGGTTAACAGTTTATGCTACAGCCTTTGTCCTCCATGAGGTCAGAGATTGCTTGTTGTGATGAAGGTGTGGGTAACTCCACGTGCAGATAGTGGAGAGGGGTCACCCTGTTTGGAGCGGTTTTAGGCATACCGTCGAGACTAAGAATTTTATGTGTGTGTGGGGTGAAAGGGCAGGGCTGTGTAGGGAGACAGATCTAAGGAGGATGGGGAATTATACTAGGGCATAGTGGTAATGAAGTAAGAAGGATTGATAAAGAGAAGAAACCTATTGAATAGGCCAGAGTGGGCCACTATGGATTCTGAGTAGGAGAGTGAACTAGTTCTCAAGAAGGTAGTGAGGCAGTGGTATGCAAGAAGGATTCAGAGAGACTGGAGACAGGAAGTCATGCAGTGCTGGAGCAGTTGTTGAGGGTCTGGATTAGTTAGGTTTATGGAAATGGAGAGAACGAAGTCAGTGGGAGATCATACAAAAGGATTGAGAGGCTCTGACAATGTGCTGAATGGGGAAGAAATGAGCAAGGGCTGGGGAATAGCCATGTCCAGGAGACGGTGGGGTGCAGGGAGCATGAAGACCAGGGGAGAAGAGATCTGCAGGAGTTAGTGCTGAGGAGCAGGAGTTCAGGGGGAGGAGGAGGAGATAGATGCAGGCCCAGAGACAGGTGAAGAAATTCTTTCCCTCTCCAGAGCGAGGCAGTTAGCCTGGTGTAAACCTAACAGAGGAAAGGCCATCCTACCTGCAAGGCTTCCTGCAGTACAGAAAATACACCAGGGATGCTACATCAAAGCCACCGTGGCCAGGACTCCAATCATGATGCCAACAATGGTTCCAGTGGATAGGCCCAGAGAATTTCCTTGTGATGAATTACCTACATGGGAAAAAAAAAGGAGAAGGAATGAAGGTGAAATTGTATTACAATGGGGGTGCCCTGGGAGATAACTCTCAGCATGAAGTAATCTCTACTTGTTCCTTCCAGGAGTACATTTTTTGTGTGTATGAAGGTTGCTAGGAGGTGATTAACCAACCCTTTCCTTCCAGTGTTTTTCCTCTCACCATGTTCTAGGTTGCTGGTCAGTCATTGGTCCATTCCATTTCGGGCTTTCTGCACTCAGATATATTTGAAGGCTTTGAAATGTGAGAAAGGCTCATGCAATTCTTTTATGTTATTAGAAGTTTCCACGTGTTTGTGGTTGCATCTTTTTCTCAGTGTCCCAAATCCCTGTATATGAACCTGCCAGGTGTCCATCACAGGGATGGAGTTGGCAGAAGGCCCGGTCCAGTGCATTCTGGGTTCACGACCTCATTTGCACAGAGACCTGGCTTTCCAGTGGCTCCCCGCAGAGATATGAAGGGAAACTCAACTTTGCCAGGCTCTGGTTTCCTCTGATGGGTGACTGGCTTGAGGACTCCCCATTGGCCTTGCAGAAACTCCCTTACGACCTGCACTGCAGCCCAAAATGCCCTTCTCTATCTCCCTCATAGGCATCAGATCTGCAATGTGGTCTGAGGCTCTCCCAGGCTCCTCCCACTCCTGCCCCACTCTCCCTCACAGGCATTTTCCCTAAGGATCTTGCATGTGTAATCTTATCATGGCTGTATCTCAGTGCATGAAAGCAAATACGCCAGGCTTGAGACTTTGCACTTAACTCCTTTATTTCCTTCTCTCATATTTAGTTAGTATCCACATCCAGTGGGTTTTTTGTGTAATGCCCCCCATTCACTCTCACACACACACACACAGACACACACACACACACACACACACACACAAACACATGTGAAGTAACCTTTTTGTCTGTTTCTTCTTTATTTCTGTTGCAACCATTGGTGGATTCGCCCTCATCAGTCAACTCAAGGCTGACAATTAATGCTAATGTTAGCTACTATGGTGGCTGGTGAACTTACTATGTGCTAGGCCCTGTGCTAAACACTTTATGAGTATCTCATTGGATCTGTACAATAACTCTGTCAGAGATACATTCTTTCACTTTACAAATGAAAAAACAAAGGCTTACAATGGTGAAAAGACTTACCCAAAGTCATATGGCTGGTGAAAGGTGGATCTGGGATTTGACTCTAGCTAGGACCATCTGACTTCAAGGCTAATGATAATAGCAGCTAATATGTATAGAATATTTCCTTTGTGTGGGCCATTTTGCTAAAGGTAATTGACTATGAATATTTAAATCTTTAAAACAATACTCTGAAGCAGATACTCTTGTTGCAATTTTTGGTTAAGGAATCTGAGGATCAGAGAAGTTAAGAATCTTGTGCAAAAAATTTATAGCTGTAAGCACATTAAAAAAGAGAAAAGATCTGAAGCAACAGCCTAGCTTTATGACTTAAGGGGATAGAATAAGAACAGGCTGTCTGCCATGGCTCATACCTGTAATCCTAGCACTGTGGAGGCTTAGGTGGGAGGATCACTTGAGCCTAAGAGTTCAATACCAGCCTGAATGGGAGTGAGACCCCATGTCTACCAAAAATAGAAAACTTAGGTGAGTGTTGTGGTGTGCACCTGTAGTCCCAGCTATTGGGGAGCCTGAGGCAGGCGGATTACAAGAACTCAGGAGTTTGAGGTTGCAGTCAGCTATGATGACACTGCTGTACTTTACCCAGGACCACAGTGTGAGAATTTGTCCCCTAACTGCCAGCAAAAAAGTGTAAACTAAACTCAAAAATAGCAGGTGAAGGAAATAATATTAGAGTGCAGAAGAGAAAAACAATAGAGAAAATCAATAGAACCAAAACTTGGTTCTTCAAAAAAGATTAACAATCTTGAACTAGATTGACTAAGGAAAAAAATAGAGAAGATTCAAATCACAAAAATGAGAAATGAAAGTGGAGACATTACTACCAATTCAACATAAATAATAAACATTATTAGAGTACTAGAAATAATTTTTGCCATCAAATGGGATAACTAGATGAAATGGAGAAATTTATAGGAACACAAACCCTAGCATGACAGAATCATGAATAAATAGAAAATCTGAATAGACCTATAACTAGTAAGGAGAATCTATCAATGAGAGCATTTGACAAAATTCAACATTCTTTCCTAGTAAAAACACACTATGTATAAATAGAGGGCAACTACCTCCACACAATGAAGGCAACACTGAAAAGCCCAAAGCTAACATCATATACTCAATGGTGAAAGACTGACAATTTTTCCTTTATGATAGGAACAAGACAAGGCTGCCTGCTTTTCCATTTCTATTCAAAACAGTATTGCAATCCTTAGCTAGAGAATTAGGCAAGCAAAAACAAGGACATCCATTGGAAAGAAAAAGTAAAATCATCTCTGTTTGTAGCTGTCATAAATATTTATGTATAAAACCCTAACAACTTTTTCAAAAGCTGTTAGAACTAATAAACATAATCAGTGAAGCTGCAGGATACAAAATCAACATCCAAACATCAGTTGTATTTCTATACATTAACAATCAGCGTTCTGAAATGAAATTAAGAAAATATTCAATTCACATTAGTATAAAAAAGAAGAAAATACTTAGGAATAAGGAGGTGAAGGAATTGTACCCTGGAAACTAGGAAACATTGCCAAAAGTAATTAAAGAAGATGTAAATGGATAGAAAGATATTTTATTTTCATGGGTTGGAAGACTTATTATTCAGATGACAATACCACCCAAAATGATCTGCAGAATCAATGCAATCCCTATCAGAATCCCAGGGACATTTTTGCAGAAATAGAAAAATGTATACTAAAATTCATATGGAATCTCAGAGACTCTAGTAGTGAAAACAATCTTGAAAAGGGAGAATATAGCTGGAGGACTCCCATCCTGATTTCAAAATCTACTACAAAGCCAAATCAATACAGTTTGGTACACACATAGAAACCAATGGAAAAGAATAGAAAGCCCAGAAATAAATGCTGGCATATATGGCTAAATGATCTCTGACAAGGGTTCCAAGACTATTCAATGGGGAAGGGATAGTCTTTTCAACAAATGATTTTGGGAAAACTGAATATACATGCAAAGAGATGAGTTGAATCTTTACCGAATACCAATACAAAAATAAACTCAAGAAGGATATCAAAGGCTTACATGTGAAACTCTTATAGTGTAGAAGCTTCATGATATTGGGTTTGCCAGTGATTCCTTGGCTATGACACCAAAAGCATAGCCAACAAAAGCAAAAGTCGATAAATTGGACTTTGTGAAGACTAGAAATGTTTGTATGTGAAGGGACACTAGCAAGAAAGTGAATAGGCATCCATGGAATGGGAAAAATATTTGGAAATCATATATCTGATAAAGGATTAATTTCCCGACTATATAAAGAACTATTAGAGCTCTATAACAACAAAAATCCAATTAAAAGTGGGCAAAGGAGTAAAATAGACATTTCTTCAAGGGAGATATACAAATAGCCAATGAAAACATGAAAAGTTGCTCAACACACTAACACTTAGGGATGCACAACAAAATAACACACACACCTAATGGATGCAGTGTGCACTGCCTGGGGGATGGATATGCTTGAAGCTCTGACTGGGTGGGTCAAAGGCAATATATGTAACCTAAACATTTGTGCCCCAATAATATGCTGAAATAAAAAAATCCCAAAATTACAATGATATATGACTTCACATACGTTGGGATGGGTTTGATAAAAAAAAGAAAACTCACACAAGTGTTTTGAAGGAGGTGGGAAAGTTGGAACTCTTATGCATTGCTGGTGGGAATGTAAAAGGGTCCAGCCACTGTGGAAAGTGGTATGGCAATTCCTCAGAAAGAGTTACCATGTGATCCAGCAACTCCAGTTCTGGCCAAATACTCAAAAGAATTGAAAGTAAGAATTTGAACAGATATTTGCACATGCATGTTCACAGCACCATTATTCACAGTAGACAAATTGTGCAAACAACTCAAGAGTCCATTGAAAGATAAGCAGTTTGGCAAAATGAGGTATATCCATACAATGGAATGTTATGCACTCCAAAAAAAGGAATATAATTTTGATACAACAGAATTGAACCTTGAAGATGTTCTGCTAAGCAAAATAAGACTTACTCAAGAGGACAAATATTGTATGATTCCATTTATATGAGGTATTAGGAATAGTTGACTACAATAGAAAGAAAGTATTAATAGAATGACGGACCAGGGACTCTGGGGACAAGGAGTAGAGAATTATCTTTAGTGGGAACAGCAATTTAGTTGGTAAGATGAAAAAGTTCTGGAAATGGATAGTGGTGATAGTTGCTCAACTATAAATGTACTTAATAGCACAGAATTTTCCACTTAAGATGGTTACAATGGTAGATTTTGTTATGTATATTTCACCAGTATCTATACTATATAGTGGCTGGTACCTTCACCCTGTCTGTAAATACCCTTCCACCCTGGATGAAGTCACAGCATAGCCGGCCACCAGGCAAGTGGGGAGCAGAGCAAGGAGCAGAGCTCCGAGATGCTCATGCCTCCTCTGAGGGGGTTTCATCATTCTCATTTGGGGAAAAATAATGTGAGCCTATTTTGAAACCTCCTATGTTCCTTGTAGCTCGTGGGGTAGGTAAAAGAAAACAAAAATGTGACAGAAAGGGACTTGTTAGTGACAGAGAGAAGCCACTTGACCTTGAGGATTCTTCTTCCTCTCCCCTCTGTGAAGCCCCTCCCACTAGATGGGGCTGTCTGGGGTTGAGGGAACCCCCCTCCTCACTTGCAGGCTGGAACCAAGGTCAGGTGTGTGAAATCAGAAAAGCCAGGGGAGGAGACAGTCTGCAGAAACGGAATGAGAGGGCTCAGGGTGGAACCTGGGACTTGTTTGTGCCCAGGACACAGGCTGGGGATGAAAACTTCTTTATGGCTCTTCTCTGAACAGCAGACATAATCCATGACAAAACTTAATGCCAATCCTCCAGGGATTCACTTACCAGAAACTGTGATGTTCAGGACTGTGCCACTGGCATGGCCAGTGACAGCATTGTTGGCGATACAGACATAGGATCCGCTGTAATACACAGTGACGTTGGGGAGGAAGAGCTGTTGGGTGGGTATCTGGAGACTCCCATTGAGATGCCAGTAATATTTTGCAGGTGGGTTAGAGGCCGCGTAGCAAGACAGGTGGATGTTTTCCCCTGGACGGTAATAGGAGTCTGGAGGGGAAATGGTGGGGACGTCGGGGCCATCTGGACAAAGACAATAAAGCCACATGTGATGTCATCAGAGGAAAGGGGAGTTCCAGGTCTGTAGAAGGGCCACAGTGACCGTCTATATCCTGTCACATTCTTGTAAAGTTAGAATCCAGCCATGTGTGGGGCTTATGCCTGTAACCCCAGTGCTTTTGGAGGCCCAGGTGGGAGGCCTAGAGGTCAACACCAGCCTGGGCAATATAGCAAGACCCCTATCTCTACAAAAAAATTTAAAAAACTAACTGGGCTTGGTGGTGCATGACTGTAGATTTAGCTACTCAGGAGGCTGAGGCAGGAGGATTGTTTTAGCCCAGGAGTCGAGGTAATAGTGAGCTGTGATCCCAGCAGTATAGTGCAGCTTGGGCAACAGAGTGATACCCTGTCTCTTAAAATAAGTTCTAACCATAACCTGTGTCTGAGACACTGACCTGTTCCAGTCATCACAGGTTGTTGACCATGAGCATCTCAGGACAGGAGCAGCCCCTCCGTCCTACTCTTGGTCAAGGCTGGGCCTGACCGGGTTTGCCTGGGGCAGGAATCTTGACCAGCCTGGGTGTCCAGGGGTGAGGGTCTGTGTGCTTCAATCCCAGAGAGACTGAATGGCCTTGTCTCTGGCTGTGTGAATTTGGGCTGCAGCCTGGGCTGTGGAGGAACAGAAAATACTCACAGATCACATTCAGGTTCACTGGGTCACTGCAGCTGCCATTCACTGGGTTCCTGTTTTCACACTGATAGGGTCCTGTGTCATTCCTTGTGATACTGAGTAAAATGAGGGTTCTGTTGTCCAGGGACGTCACCAGCCTATCACTGTCTTGGAGCCTCTGACCATTTTTCCACCATAGGTAGGTGGTGTCCTGAATCTCAGGTTCACAGGTTAATGCTACAGAGTCCTCATCCTCCACGGGGCTGGAGCTGTTGCTTGTGATGGAGGGTTTGGGTAACTCCGCTGTGCAGATAACAGAGAGAAGGTTGCCCTGTGTGCTACCTTTAATTCCTCTAAAATCATCCCTCAATCAGGGTTGGCATCTCTCACCTCTCAGCCAACCTGAGTGATTAAAAGACCAAGGCAGGTGCGTGTGTCACGAGACAGACGCAGGACGAACTGAGGGTCAGAGAACGTGAGGCCACCTGCTCTGTGTCTGGGAGATGCACAGACTTTCTCACCTGAGCAGCAGCAGTGGGTGGTGGACAGACACAGGACCTGGAGCCAGAGTGCCCCTCCACCCCCACCCTGGCGCCTCTCCTGGTCCTTCCCTGACTGCCTGACTGACCCTGTGGTCCTCACCAGGAATGTGTGGGCGTTAGGTCCCCTCTAGCTTCATAGTCTCACTTTGCCCCCCTAGGTGTGTTTCTGTGAGGCTGTCCTCAGTTATCCCAGAGATGGGTACTGAGAGGACTTCCCATTGTCCTGAGACCATGTGGTTACCTGGCAGACTGGCCTGTGACTGGGTGTTTGAGCACAAATAACTCAAGGAGAGCAGGAGCCAGCCTGGAGACCAGCTCAGCAGTCAGGCTGTGGGGCCACAGGTTGGGACAGTTTTTCCCAGTTGCTTGAATGTGACTGACATAAGACAGTGACTCCTAAAAGGTAGAGCAGAGTCCAAGGAATGATCTAGAAAAGAATGAGGGGACAGGTAGGAGATAGTGGCTTTGAAGCAGAGCCATGTTCCCTGCACTTGGTCCTTATGTCACTTCTACCTCTGCACAAGCCAGGCAAGGACCATGTGGATCTTTCCAGAAATGCATGTGGATGTTAGCAAAGGGAGAGCTAACTGGTGCAAAGTGGGGTAGCATGAACACGCTGGAATGTGGCCTCATGGACCTCATGTGCTGGGCAGATGGGATAGGAATATGAGAAGTTAAATTTCTTCCATATCACATTACGCTCAAAGGAAGATGCTGAGGTCGGTTCGGAATCAGTGACTCACTGGGTAGAGAGGTACTCGCAAGTGCCATTACCAGGACAGAACTGGTCAGTGAGAAGTCTGAGGTGTCTCAACAGTAATAGGAAGAGAAAGATACCAAATTAGAGTGATGTGTGTGATGGTAAGAAATTTAGAAAGAGCTCCACGTCCTTAAATTCTGTGGAGAGTCAGGCAAAATGGGGAGGAGCCCGACAAGGCATGTGAAATGCTTTCTTCCTTTTTTTTGAGCCTTGGAAACAACTAGGGTTTGATCACAGTTGTGCAAAACTGGGGCGCAGCGAGTCTAAGTGAACACCCGCTGGCTCGTGCATGTTGTTCCCATCGCTGGAACCCAACTTATGGTTAATGAACACAGGTGTGTGGGCAGGCTGTCATCGCCATCAATGCCAAATGGTTCTGGCACAAGCATCCAGACCTGGGGAAGGATTGTGGAGGAAACGCAATGAGGCGTGCGCCCCGGCCCAGGCGGCACTAAAATAAAAAGCGAGTAGCTTGAGTATGAACATACTTCTCCCTGGTCTCTCCCCACCAGATGACCATGCATGACATCACAAACAAAAACTAAAAAAAAACAAAGAC